AAATTGGATATTTTGTGAAAGAGTTTGTTTGTCTAGCGAAATCAATTTCCTCGCTAGATGTTGTTTTATGAGCGGGCGGTTGGCCTCATAAATATGCGTCACGACCGCTCGGATTCGTGTCATCCAAAGCGCGCGACGTACCTGTCAACGCATAAAACTAATCTGGCGTACCTAAAGACGTGAAACGATCAGACCCGCTTTTCAAGCAGCGCTCTCGGAATCCTGTTTTGACAGGGATTTACCTACTTTCGACGCGGCCTAATCTCGCCTATTCGAAAGCCTCTTTCCGTCGTCGTTCTTCCGTCCTCCGTGCGACATAACAATATTTCTACACGACGATCGATGTTCGCCTGCCGAAGCGGCCCGAGGGCAGCTAGATAGATAACCAGATCTTCGATATTCCGAAAGACAGGCTGAGTGACGTCTTTACACTTAGGAGTGGATAAGCGAGCGAGAATAAAAAGGACCGGTAATGCATTTTGATAAGTGAGAGCTTAGATCCACTCGAATCTTTCCGTACTGTAGAACCTTCTTTTCTAGAATCTTATCTTGTAAATTGAAATAACATGACTAAAAAATTTAAATGAAAATGTATTTCAATTCCTTAAAAAAAATGTTATTAAGAACTGCAGCTGTAACGACATATTAAAAATTCAATTTGTCTCTATTTTTATTTGAATTTTTTTCCTACTATAGCTTTCCATTATTGTCCGAAACAGTGTAATGAGATAAACATTTTTTTTTTCGATTGACTAAAAAATTTATATGGGAAAAGAGTCGCTAAGAAAATTGCTACTATAACAATACATCAAGAATTCTGTCTGAATTTTACACAGAATTTTTTTCTTATTGCAGCTTTCAATTATTGCTCGAGACAGTGTAATCAGATAAACGTTTTTCTTTTCGACTTGCTCACGACGTCTGTCGGGTAAGATCGCGCTCAACGTGATTGTGGCGATTCGCATTCGAGGTACGTCCGGTTCAACATACGTAGCAGCCGCCCGTGCAGCGAGTGCATCTCCCTCCCGGCGCCGAAAAAGCAGGAAAAGTCGTGGAAGAAATTCCGTTGCTCCCGCGTGTTTCGTCGGCCTCGGATCTGCCTCGCGGCATACGAAAAAAGCCCGTGGAGACGCGGCGTCGAATACTAATTCTTGCCGTTTGCGCGAACCAGCGGAGAGACAAAAGACGCGACGAAGTGGCGCGGAGAACGATGCGGCGCGACGCGACGCGAGTTAAGAACGCGAAGGCGAACGAGCAGCGCGTCGGAAAAGAGTAGGTGCGCGTGCTGTACGGCGGTGAATTTGCATGAAAATACAGGGGAACTTGGTGGCGATGATTTCTCGGCGTTTCCAAGAGCGCTACCGAAATTCCGGCGTCGGTTCGCTGCCGGTAGTCGAGCGACACGCGACAAAGGCGTCACGGCGCGCTGTGTGTTCTCTCGGAATTCGCGCAACTCTGATATGTATATAATACTAACGGGAACGCGTTTTTTAACGAGCGCATGTCGGTGTTCCGCGAGCTACCGCTGAATTTATGCGCGCGTGTATGCGTGACCGGTTTATCCCTTTGACGTAGCGCTAATGACGCTACCGGTAATGTGACTTCGTCCTTCTCGTCTCGTCAGTATTTCCGATCGCTAGATGAATAAAACTGTGCTCTGACGTGATTAAATCCGCGATTGCGAATCGACAGAAGTTATCTACAATAATAATGTCCGCAGACTTACACAAAACTTTTCTGATTACAAAAAACTATTGTCTTAATCCTTTTTATCCTTTTCCTTTTTATCTTTCGCATAATATATTTGCACAATTTATTTCGATATCGTTTGTAAAAATTATGCATCAAAGATTTCTTTCTTAAAATTGATATTTTACGACTTCTAGATCTTATCTTATATTCAGCTTCTTATGACTTGGCTTAAAACTTGATCGTGATGCGACTGAGAACAGCGGTATGCAAAAGAAGATGAGGCTTATATCTGTAGGGTATAGTCATGCTTGATAAGCACTTTTGAAAGTTATCTGTTAGATGAGGCACGTGAGAATTGACGTTTCGCTTACATATATTGTATGCTGAACAGGCACGTTATCAATATATCACAACATTTTAAAACTTTTATTTAATTGTGGAGAATAAAAAATTGAATGTTTGGAACAGAGAAATATTGATTTTCGCAATTTGCTATGTCTGAAAAGATTGTGAAAGAAGATTGCGATTCTTTTTCGCGAACAATAGTTCTAATAATTTCAGTAAAATAATCTATATACTATTTCAGAAATTTTTTTTATTATCACAAATAATGATGATATTATCTAATACAAATGAGATTGACAGTTTTAAAGAAAGACTCGGAGATCGATAATCACTTGTATTTGATACTTTGTACTTGATACAGTGTGAAGATAATCAACGCAAGTGGTGGCGTTCAATTGAGGAAGTTGTGACAGGATTATTCGTAGCTGCTTCGATTTCTTGTCAATACTCTTTATCGGCACCTCGCATTATTCCCCGTCTTAACAATAAGACCGTAATAAAGGTCATGCAATGTGGATTGAAGAAAGGATGAATGTGACGCACGAAACCGACAGAAAGGATCAGACTGGATTCCATTTGACGTCGGAGGGGATGCGACTCGGCTCGAATGGCCGATATTATACCCCGGGGCGGTAATTCGTATCGAGTTTTCCGCGCTGCCCGGGAACTCGATCGGAAACGCGATCAGGATGACGAAAGTAATCTTCGGTCGCGTCAAGCGCGATCCTACAGCAAACAATCTGAGAGCTATTATATTTGCGCGGCATTCCCAAGGGTGTTTTTTTCTTAATTTTACTTTTGCGCAGTTTTATCCAAAATATTTTGCCATTTATTATTCGCAACGATTAATACGTCTGTATTTATAGCTATTTAACCTACAGCTTTATGAGAAGTGACATCCGGTTACAACGTCCGCTCAGAATATCTGACTCATAAATTATTATTGGTGTGGCGAGGATTTAAAACGGAGCTTTTCTCTTCAATTTTTGTTATTTTTGTAACAGCATCAAGCACAACCTTCGATTCGAACGATAATCAATAAATGACATAAATGATAGATTAATCGACTTCTTCGTGTGAAATTATTGAGAAGAGTAGGAATTAAAAGTCAACTTGAAATAAAATAAATTTAGACTAAAGGCATAAATGTATAGAAATAACGTCGTTTTTCTATCAAAATTAAACGGATTTATTAGCCAAAATATAAATAACAAACCTATTTATTTAATTATACTTTTTTATGCTTTATATTCCTTCTTTTTTCTTCCATATTTTAAATAAAAAATCCATTTAAAACGTATAATTTTTAAATACAATCTTTTTTTGAAAACATGCTATTTTATTTGTGATTCTTGCGACAGTAATAGCAAAGTATTTTGTCGCTATTATTTCCGTAAGATCGGAATGACAAATGGAAAATGAGGCGAAATGAGGAAAAATACTCGACAAGATGTATTAGCGATGTCCCGCGGAGAGTTATTATCTCGGCAATGGGAAGACAAAGCGTGTAAGATGGGCGACATATCGGACGACAGTCAGCGTGAGCGCGAAGCGTAAGCGGGAGCATTCCCCGACCGACAAATGGCAATTTAACACCGTCGACCGTCTCGGTCGATATTCGAGCGACCCTTTGACCGTCGACGCTAATGCACGGCCTGCCCTTTATTTCCTGCTGTCACATCGGCGCGGCGATACGCGCTCCCTCCTCGCCCGCTGGCATCATCGCGCTCGCTCGCTGGAGCACGCTTTTGGCCGCCCACGCGAAAGCCACGGCATATACACAAAAGGGGGACCACGCCCCCTTCCTCCGCCCGGAGGATTTAATTACGAATTAATTGTGATGTACCGCGCCGCGGCTAATTCCGCCCGGTAATCCGAGGAACGCCCTGGTCCTTTTCGTACTCTTCCACCGACAAGAAACGAAATTTTCTCTCTCGTGACGTATTTACGCGAAATTTCGCCTCGAGCGAAAAATCGCCGGATTTATTTTGCGCGCCGAAACAGCGGCGTACTTTTTGATCTCAATGTGATCGGCTCAAAAGAGGCACGATAGCTGCGAGTTTAATTTTTGGCGAGAGGCTCATTCGCGCGGAGTGCGCACACATCGTATGAAGGTAGGCACCGTTATGTCACAGATAAGATCGGCGTGCAGAAGTGCACTACTCGATACATGACGCTAATGAATGATTGAGTGTGCGGAATGTGAATTTCACTGATATAAATCAACGAGAGATTTTAGATATTGTACGATGAACGCGGTGGGAATAGAACTGACAGGATAGTCGGGATGCCCTTTATCTCTGTGATTCCATCCTTACTTCCGAAGGGTACAGATATATAATTTGCGCGGACACAATTCGTGCGTTGTTGTTTGTGAATATTCATGATCTGCATGCAACGTTGGTTCTAAATAAATTGTAAATATCCGCGAAGGCGTGCAACGGCAAAACTGAAATCTCGCTAATCAGATCGAGCCGATTGCTATCTGCACGTGTGCTAATAGGCTTTTCTCATTAATCATTTTAATTAATAGCGGTTAGAATTGTGAATGGGTTATCGCCGCGTGTTATTTGCATATGCACGTGGCAAGTGGCTAGTACATTTTTCTCTTTACAATGAACGTTCACTCTCATTTTGTGCGAAATAATATCGTCATCGTTTTGTGTCAACTGTTCGCTGTTTCTAATTTTGACGTCAAGCTGAAGATAAAGCACAGAAAACTCGCTTTTACGTCAAACGAAGAACGTGGTCTCGTCAAGATGAATATCTACGTTCCTTAATTGCTCTGGAAAACATTTGTCTTCCTTACGAGGCAATCATGTCTCGAGGCAACGACCGAGGAGCATCTAATGAAACGCCCGGTGAGATAATTCGATCGCGTAGCAACTGATTAATTCCGATAACGCGATATATAACGGTAAAATACACCGCGGGTTCTACATTTCGCTATCTCAGATTCTCACCTGACAGTCAGTCTTGATTAGATTACGCCACGCAACGTCGGCAGCCGAGCACCTCCTTGGACGTGAGATTCTCTCAAGCGATGCCCTCCTTCGTCACTCCTCCCAACGAACTGTCCACTGATAATGTATTGACGTAGTCTGCGTAGATATCGTTGATTATCAGTTCACTATTCAGTTCACTAACGTCAGGCCGACGCGTCAAACAGAACGTCTTTCTCGTCTTTTCTCTCTGTCCTTCAGTTATCTGTTCCGCCGTGTTTGTCACGGTCGACGCACGGTGTCCCCCCACGATATCGTCGATATCACGGTTCAAATGACATCGATGCCATTTTCTCCTCAAGTAGGTGAGTCCGAGTCACAGTCAGATTTGTCACTTTCGATTTATCTCAGCAGCCTCCCGGCGGCAAATCGATTCCCAACGTACTCGGATCATTTGCCATTGCTTCACAAGTCGTCACATCGCTGCGACCAAGTTCCCTGTGCGTTGAGATTTATCTTCGCTCCAAGTCCGGAGTGCGAGGGGAAAAAAAAAAAGAGAATGCCGGAGCAGTCGGTTTATCTTCTCTCGAATTCCTGTCCGAGTGTGAAGTTATTCTCGCTGTCTCGATGCAAGCTCGCGCCGATTATCCCGCGAGATTTATCGCAGTTGAAAACGCGGAGAGATCGCGCGGTGATTTAAGAGCCGCGGTTTACGGGGGTCGTGCGCGCGCGTGGTTTTCCACGTGTCGTCGTCCTATAGTTGATGACGGTTTCGTAGACGCGCGGTAAATGCACGCGATGCACGGCGGCGCTCGCTTTTATCGATGCTCGCGTCAGTTGCGCGCGACCGCGTGTCGTCGCTCTCCTTTCGGCTTCTCTCCCCACGTTCGACGCGACGTTGCGCCTCTAGCCTCATCGCCGCGAATTTTTCGCAGACCGCCGTTCGATCGCGAGCGCGTGCGTGCTTCCAGCCGCAATTACGACGATGACGCGTCGCGCGACCTACTGGTGGGGTATCGCTAATTTATGTACGAGTATGCTACTGGCTATGAAGTGGTTGCAAATTTTCATCGCGTTTCTGGATCACCAATAAAATTCTGCAAGATAATGATTTATAATTCGCGGACCAAAAATGTGAATAATGTAAATGTTGAAGATAATTTTAAATGAATTGAAAAGCCGCGTGCAATCAAATATATGTAGTATTAAGAAACAATAGTATAATTCTTAATAATTCAATTTTCGAAGAGATAAAGAATTTTAATAAAATTGCATGCAAAAAATCATGCATATTGTATTTGATATTAGAACAGATTCGTGTGAGCAGTCCTGTTTTCAAGAGCCGATCGACCAGACGTCCTCGCAAAAACGAGAGTCTGCCATAATTAAGATATTAATAGCTCTCGAGCACAGCTATTATCCACGTCGTACAATCGAGATTGATCATAAAATCTTGGAGCATAGTGTGAAGCATAGAAAAATCCTGAATTCAATTCAACTCAAACAAAAGATTTTGGATCGAGGATTTAAATTTGAAAAAAATCGATATCATAAATTATTCAAATAAATCAATGCATTAAATAAACTAAATGATTGAGTAGAATATACGAAGAAATGAGCATCGGTTGAGTCCACGTTGCAACTCTAATCATTAGGAATGCACTTAATTGGAAGCTTATCGTGTTGCCAGGCGCATACCACAGCGACGACATCGCTCTTTACCGAGCAGGCTGCATCTCTTAAGACACGTGTGAAAACTCGTTCTACATTACTTCGACCAATAATAATAATACTTATAATTCTCGGACAGCGCTCGGTCGCGATAGTCGCCGTTCTGGTTGTCGAATGTTGTCTTTTAGAACTGATACTATGCGATTTGTGCTCGGCTCATACTGTTAGTCTTATGAGTATCGATGAATGCTAGACCTATTAAAACCGGCTCGGTAGGTAGCAAAAGCGGATAAGATGCATGGCGTGAAGTTTACTTAAATCGGATTAGTGAAAAACTTTCGCCATACGTATCTTTTCGCAAGAACGCGCGGCCATAATGGATGCTGGATGATGGATGAGGGATTAACCCGTCAAGTCATAATATTACCACAAGCTTATACCATTATGAAAATATTATGTTGCTTTAGTCCGTAAACAGACTCGCCATAACTTGCAAATTTTTGAAATTTTTTACTCCTTTCCAATTTTTGTAACGATATCGAGCGATCGAGTAAATAAAACGTATTAACGTAAATAAAATACAATATGATAAAGATGTTATTAACGAGCTGGTAATAATGTATGGACTTTTTTCAGCATGAAAGAAACTGGAAGGAAGAAATTGAGATTCGATAGTGCACTAATTACCGATGTCTCTTCTTCAGAAGAGGCGAGGTCAAACGAGCGCTCGTAAAATCAATGAACCCGCTTCGTAACAGCGACGAGGCGTCGTGTATCCATGCGATGCCCTTCATCGCCCTAACGCGCTCCTGCTCATCTCGCACATTCTTTTTCTTCGCTCGCGCGTCGCGCACAAGGAATACCGTACGCGTCGCGGCGCGTTTTCCCCATGTGTTCTCGCCGCGTTCTGCATCGGTGGCCCTCCTCCTTCCTGCCGAGAGAGAGAGAGAGTCCCCGAAGAAAGAGAAAAGGAGCAGGAGGACGAGTAGTAGCTGGAAGGTAATCAAAGGGGTGGGCGCGCACGTTCGCGAGTGTTTGCGCCCCTTCGCCTTACCTCTCGAGGCACACACGCGCGAGAGCGTCGTTGAACAATCGTTTCGGTGGCTTTGAAGTCTTTCGCCTTTATCCCCCGCGGCTCCGAATCGCCCCTCCCGAGTGCGCTCTTTCGCGTTGCGTTCGCGGCGAGGACCAGCGACGGCACGAGAGAGAGAGAGAGACAGGTCCTGACGTGCACACACGCATCTACACGCATCTCGGCCCTCTCCTCACGCCTTCTCGTACCCATACTTCACCTCTCGAGTATACGAGAGATACGGCGATAATATCGAACGTGCCTCTGACTGACAAAACGGAGTCCAGAGGGGGTTATGACGCTGAAGAGGCTAATTACAGGGTTTTTCCCTTGGAGATTTGCACGATGGTCATCGTGGCTGGATGGATGATAACTGCTTTGATTTGTTCCCCTGTACGCGCTGCTCTGCACGCTAAAGAAAATCGAGGGGCGGCGTGGCTTTGTGGCGACAATACGCGCTCGCTCTCTCTCTCCCTCTCGCTCTTATTCAGCTTCTTTCGTATCGCGGGACTAATCAGCTGCAAAGAAGCTCCACGCTCTCTCTCTCTCTCTCTGTCGCTCTTTTGCGAATTCTTCCGTTCTCGATGGTCCTCCGCTGTTGACTGTTCTTTTTCTCTCTCTCTTTTTTTCTTCCTGCTCTAGATTTCTTGCTCTCGTGCGCGATTCATCCTGTTTTTTACCTCCCTTTTCCCTTTTGTCTCCTCATGTCGGAAAGAGATTTCGCTTCCGATGCCACGTATGCAGAAAAGTTCGCGAAAGTGCCCACTTATTGTCCCCTAGTGGCAGTCGAGTGTAGCTTTGATGACGACAAGGTAATTAGTACGTATTATACTTTGTGACATCGCAGAGAACGGCCGGCCGGAGCGAAAGAGGCTCTCTCTTCCTCCCCGATCCCTTTCCCGCGTCCCTTTTTTCTCTCTTTCCTCCGAATATCTTATTGCGCTCTTCATCTACTCACGCGATAGCTCCCGCGTGCGTGTACATCGAACGCAATCCACTCTCGGCCCCTCTCTTGCCGTCTCCATCGTTTGCACGCTAATTTCCGTACAGATGGATGGAGGAGCAAAACGGGAAACAACGATCACTCCAGCCGAAAAGTCTTTGTCGTCGACGAGCGACGGTCGAGCGGTGCGCGGCATAAAGTATATTCATTCGTGTACGCCGCGACAAAGGGCGGAAGACAAATCCACAGATGAGAGCCTAATGAGTGCGCTTGTTTTTTCATGAATTCGTAATTCACGAGCGCGTATCGCGACGGGCGGGCGAGAGAGTGGCTTCTCGATTTCATTGGGGACCGTCGCTAGAAGAAGCCCGGTCTCAAAGACGATGCGCGCAACTCTCATTCGCGCTCCGACGAGCACGCGGAAATAATTCTGTTTTTTTCACCGATGCGGAATGTTCTCGTTAACGTCGAAGCGGAGTGCTCTAAGCTGATAGCCGGCGGACGGATGGCGTAGGAGAAGAAAATCCTCAAAGACGTCACACGGCCTAATTTTCCGACAGAAGGAGCATTCTTACTTTGATGCATCAGATCTCCAGTTTTTCGCCAAAGCCCTCTCTTTGCGCGTCGTTCTCGTTCGTTATGTTTGCCTGGCGGATTTCTTGGGAGGAAAGGGATTGATGAAACGTGACGTAGATTCCGCGTTGTAAATCGCGTTGCAGTATCGCGTCGAGCCACTCGTGACGAGAAGAATGATTTCGGTTTTGTTCTTTCGACCCCTCTGGCATATGAATTCGTTTATTTTGCGCTATCATGCTTGATTAGACTGTCAGGGAAAAAATTGAAAAAAGTCGAGATGGAAAAATGGGTCGACAGCAATGACAGCTGAAACGAATCAAAGTGGATTCCGCTCGGAAGGGGAAGAATATTCTCTCGATGTTTTTGTGCACTTGTCAAATGTTAAGAGAATCTCACGCAGCTGCTTTCTCATGATTTTTCATTCTGATGACGCAAGTGAGTAAAAAAAGGTCGCATGAGTGAAAACAACTGTAGATAATAATGATATTCCGAAAACATTATGCAGCTGTTTCTTAATCACAGCCATATCACGACTCGACTGGATTAAAACTCTCTGCGTCAACAGTCGGATTCGTGTAATTTTATATTATAAATCTAAGCAGTCGCAAATAACGCCAACCGCATGGGAATAAATTTATTTCGGTTCTTTGATCATTTTCGTCGAGCCTTGCGCTGCACAATCGCGTGTATGTATAATAGAAGCGTATGGCGACGCGTTCTGTCGTGAGTATACGCGCGCTACATATCCCACAGAGACTCGAGTTTTCCGTAAAACGTAAGGGCTGCTGCTCCTTCTTGCGCAGCCCTCCGTTTCTACGCTTCTTTCGTATACGTGCGTCGACGCGGCGCGACGCGACGCGACGCGATGCGGAGGAACGTCGATGAATTCTTTGATCCGCGCTGTAATTAGTTGGCAGCGGGCAATGCAACCCGCCCGCCGGTGCCGTCGCGGCGTAAATAGCAGCAGCTACTATCGGCGGCGGCGGTGGCGGCGAGGCACAGCGAAGGGGTCGCTCAAGGCTCAGAAGGGTAGCAAAAATATTTTAGTGGCGATCAAAGTAGCCCGACTGTGCTCCGCGTCTATACCGAGGGCTGTTGCATCGAGAAAATGCTTCGAGAAAAAGAAAGGATCCCCCGCGTCCAACCCCCTGCTCTTTGCTTCCCGCGACGCCGTTATCGTCTTTCATCGACGACGGTAAGCAACACGGCAAACAAATGACGCAATCGCAATATATGTCATCGCAGAGTAGATATTTTACTTGCATAGAGTCGGCTTCGTAAACAACTCATGAATTGAATATCCATATTTCAGTATTGGATTTTTACATGACAGTATTAATTTCTTTTATTAACAATGTTGCGATGTGAATTAGTTATCGCGCTATTAATAAAGTATGGAGCAAATATTATTTATCGTGCAAATTTATTAACAATGTGACTACATATGTTGAGAGATTTTTTAATAAAGTGTTCTTGATAATTTTATGATAAAATTCACATTTAATCGCGGCGCGTGGAAAAATAATATTCTTGAGCGTAATACGC